GCGATTCGTTGGCTGATTCGATTTCATCGGGTTTAAAACGGCCGCTTATAGAGCATTAAGCAATCCTCAAAGTGGGAACGGGAAATCTAGTTACGGCGCCGGGACTGGCCTCTTTGATCCCGCCGACCCACCCCCCACCTCAGATTTCTCTCCCCCGCCTCGATTCTTCTCGCTCTCTCTCTCTCTCTCCCTCTCTGGGTGCGTCGCTCCTCCTCGTTCTCTCGTTAGAGATATTGCCAATCGGGAAAGAATTCCTTCCAGGACTTTACGGGGCACCGAGATTGCGTGAAAATTTCATCCGACCGCGGCCGGTCTCATCCTCTTTCGCGAATCGATTCTTTCTGCTCTTCATTTCTGATCCGCATACAATTAATTCTCTGTCGACGAAATAATTAATCGATCTCAGCCGGGAGATAGTAGCCGTAGTCCCGCGAGAGATACATAACAACGCGCTCTCGGGGAGATGAGATCGATCGGGTCCGGACCGCCGCCGCTGCCGCCGCGGCGTTTGTACGTTCCGCCCGGCAGAGAATTATCTGCTCGCGGCCGATCGCGATAACGGCGTAACATTTTTCGGCGGAAAATACGATGGCGCCACGGGTGTCAAACTTGTGTAACGTTCGCCGCAGCGGCCGGCGGCGTGCCCGAATTAATGAATAAATTCTCGGTGAATTATTAAACCGATTTCCATCGGTGCATTATTTATACGGTTTACTCTTGCCAGTTGTTGTCGACGCGCTTGTCCCCACCGTCGATTGAAATATGCGAAGCACAGCCGTGTCGCTGTCGCAAAATCTAGCGATCGTAAATTCATATCCGTGAATCGACCGTGGCGGCGGCGACGACTTTTGAGACACTTACGGCGGAAACGATGGGTTAAGGAACGGGGGATAATTGCAGGGAAATTAGCCGTCGATTCGACGGCCGGATTCGGGATCGAGGCGTGGAAAACAATCGGCCGGGGGTTAACGGAGCTGTGGCGAACCGTGAAAGACAATAGCAGGCACGCACGTTGTTCAATAGCTAATCCGGGGATGACGAGGGTGCTTGTAAATCTATCGCGGCAAAAACAATGCGGTTTCGTCGACAATCGAGCGATAATCTATGTTGGGGTTTTCCGGCCTCGGTTTTCCGAGGTCGGGGTCCGTCCGGGGCGACGATCGAACGACTCGGGGCGAACATTGTGACGTGTCGTTACGGGATGGGAAAAGTGGCCTTCCAGGTAACCACACTCAATCGCCGGGGTAAATTTCGGTAGGCGTGGCGACAGGCCATAATGCGAGTATTAAATCGGCATTGACGGCCCAGGAAGGAGATTGTAGGAAAAGGGGTAAGAGAGCGGTTTGCAAGGATAGGTAGGTAAGTCGGGGCTTAGCCCGGTGACACAGTGAGCAGAACCAAGCTATGAAGCTTACGGCCGGCTCCGAGTTGTTATAATGGGATCCGGCTAAACGCAAGCCGATTTTAACTCTTCGCCGCAGCACTCGGCCAAGTTCAAGGCCATCATTGTCTTCGCCGAGCTGAAAGCGAGCGGCCGACACTTGCAAACCCGTCGAAAATGTCGCCGGGATATCTCGGCGAGGATCGAGGCTGCCCGTCGAGTTTCGAAAACAAACTTCGAACGGTGTCTCACCTGTCCCGATGACGTCTATTTTCTTCCACCTCCTCCTCCTCCACCTGCCGAACGGTCACGGAACGTCTCTCCTCGTCTCTTCGAAACGTTCGAACGGCGGAAAAACGTGTCGTTGGAAACGACCGGCGCGCGGATCGTTCGGGAGAATGTTTTTTCCCGTACAAGGGACACTGGCACAAATCCGGCGCGCGGGTAGCTCTCCGGCTTCTAACAGGGGAGAGAGAAAGTCGCGAAGGATTTGCGCTTCGGTTATGCGGAAAGGTCGTCAAAGGGTTCCTGAGAGTGCTTAGGTATACCGGGCCGATTTATTATAGCCTGTTAATTTGATGAGATGGGCGGGGGCGGGGTGGGGCGCCGGATTACGCTGTCAAAAGGTAGACAGGTACCCCGATCTGTCCAATTAACCGGGCACAGGCTGGCCCGGTGCAGCCTTCGGATTCTTTGTCCCCGAAGTATGGGCCGTTTAGAGATATACGCTGCCGCCGTGCGCCCACCCTTCGCTCTATTATCGGCGAATATAGTCCTAGTTGCTCCCGTGGCGCGCGTACGAGCCTCGTCGCGCACCTGTGTGATCTTTTAATGGACCGTCTCTCCCTCTCGCAACTCTGCAACGGGACTTTAGGCCACACAAGCCCTCTAAACTCTGATACCCATCTTGCTATGCTCCCCATCCCGTTTATGCTTGCTCAGAATTCTGCTCGTTCACGTCAAAGAGAACGCATTACGATAACGAACGGCGCTGCAGCGAAACTCGTCGATCTCTATCTGGCTTTCTCTAAGCGTGCCAATTACGCTCCGGCCAACGAGCTTACGGTCGATTGCTCTCGTCGAGAAAGAGAGACAGAGAGAGAGAGGCTGGCTTTACGTTGCGCCGATCGAACGGATGAAACGCGGCGAAACGAATGAGACAAAGATTCGTAGGACACGGGGCAGCACGCGGGGGTGGAAGCAGCTTTAACCCTCGGACGGAGGACGCCTGGGTCCGTTTCGGCTCGGAGCTGCAAACGTTCCGATTAAATTCGAATTTCGTGGCAACAATCTATAATTGTTAACGCTATGCCGTCCGGTGGCACCACGCTGGTGCCATGCAAAAACTATCTGTTGTGGTACCGCTTTGGTGCCATTTTGAAAAACTGAAATAACATTTGAACTATTTTTCTCGGGTGTTAAAAGGCAGCAAACTAACTGTAGCATTGCGCTTATTTAACTAAGAATTAAGTACGACAATTCTTGGACGACATATCTTAATTTTAGCAATTTATGTTACCGCCATCTTCGACATATTTTTTAAAATCTACAATTTCCAAGCTATTATGCCGGCGTCAAACAAAAGTGCCATGCAAAAACTATCCGTTGTATGCCGGTGGTACCGCTTTGATGGCATTTTAAAAAACTGAAATAACATTTGAGCTATATTTCTCGGGTGTTAAAAGGCAGCAAACTAACTATAGCATTGTGCTTATTTAACTAAGAATTAAGTACGAAAATTCTTGGACGACATATCTTAATTTTAGGCATTTATGTTACCGCCATCTTCGACATTTTTTTTTTAAATCTAAAATTTCCAAGCTATTATGCCGGCGTCAAACGAAAGAATCATATCTAAGATCTGCGGACGGCATAGTGTTAATATAGAATATCCATAGAGATACATCCGTTCGGTTGCGATAGAGAATAAAATCTGCCGAGAAGAAAAAGAACGTAATAGAAGTACAAGTTACGCGTCGTACAAGATGAAGTTAGTCGTAGATTCTGGACACGGTTTCCAAAAGAAGAGATTTCGAAAAGTTCCAATTTCGTTGAGCAGTCATTGGCGAGACTGCGAATAAAATTGAATTGAGAAGAAAACACCGTACAAAATAAGAAAGAAACGAGCGATGGAAAAGCTAAATGAAGCGACAATAATGGAACAAATAATACAAATAACACGGTAGAATGGGATCAAAGAGGTAATAAAGATAGAATCTAAGATATGATTTTTTTTGCGTTGCATAGTGTTAACTGCTAATATTGAAATATAATAAATAATAAAGGGATCGACTACGGTCTGTACGAAGAGGGTTTTAATACCGTTGGAGCCGAAGGTTAACGACCGGAACGTCCGCGAGCACGTTACGATTTCGAAACGACCTCCGAAATCACAACACCCGTGCGTTAACCTCGAACGATGTGCGTGTGCGTGTATACGCGAGCGTCGCGATCTAAACATCGCGACGATGCTAGGACGATCGGCGGACGTTAGGGTGCTGGTCGAACGAAACGGGCAAATTCGAAGGGAAGACTCGCAACGGTTTTCCAGCGAGCCGATAAAGGGATGCGCTTGCAGGTCACGGGGGCAGAACGCGGCGAACGTCGAGACGATCACGATTGCGATTTACGAACACGGCCTACGATCGCGATCACGATTACGGATAACGATTATATTATATATAACGAATTATATTATAACCGACACTGCTTGCGAACACGGCTTAGGAACACAGTTTATAACTTCGGTATGTAATTACGAGAATTATTGTGTACTGTTTCACTGGCTTTTTGTATTGTATTTTACGCGCGTTATTGTTTAGTAACAAATTGAATAGTTTCCAGAATCGATTGTCTCTGCGATAACGTATGAGAATTAATCGTGAAGATTTGGATGGATCTACAACCGTAGCTGCCATCAAATTTCCGCCGTCCAAGGTTGACAAGAGCGCCGCCGGAACCGAAGAGTCTTCGACGAAGGTCCAGGCTTTTTACTGTGAAATGAGACGTCACCTCCAACGCGCGGCGTACTGGCTCGACTTCGTTCTCGCGGTAAATAGTATTTTTAATTTTGCGGAAAACAGGATCACGCTGCGGGAGACGCGAGGGAGGCGCGAGGGAGAAGGCGGGGTGGGACGCGCGAGTGAGTCGGGGAGCGAAAATTTGCGAGAAGCGTATACACAAATTACGTTCGCGATTATGGTGACCGCGAGTCTGTAATTAATATGGCTTTTAATGGTTCGCGATCGATACACCGGCTCGCGCAAATAATGGGACACGGGACCGTTTTAATGTTAATTAATTTTCAGGTGCATTAGCAAGATTACAGCCCGCGGCGTGGCACGGTGCGCGACCCGGCGCCAAGCGGCGCGAGTCGCCGGTAAATTCTTGCGAGCCATCAATGTGATTAATAGGAGGCCGACTCGCAAAGTGTAAGCCCGCCGCTCCGCCGAAACAAGGACAAGACACGGGTAATGCCGCGGATCAAACGCGTTCTGTAAATTTTACGTTAATTAGCATTTCCGTCCGGGAATATTCATTGACTTCCGCGCGAGCAGGGACGCGCGCGCGCGATACGACGAAACCACGTTGCACGTCCGGTGATTGAATCGACAAACCATGACGTATTTAATCAATTTTATTTTCACATAGGAGAAGTTCTTCCTTTCACACATGATGAAACAATCATGCCAGCCTTACAGGTGACACTGAGCTTTATGTACACTCGTCTCCTATTATTACAAACTGACTTACTGTGTTTGTAGCGAACGAAAAGTTATTATAGTTTAGCTTCCTCGGATACATATACACACACCTGTCTATATAAATATATATATAGGTGTGTGTACGTAAGTTATTATAGTTTAGCTTCCTCGGATACGTGCACATACATACATATATATGTATATATATATAGGTGTGTGTACGTATATTTGTATACGCGCGAGTGTCACCTTGCTATTTATTAACGTTAGTGATATTTTTAGTTCGTACAAACATCTGAACCACAAGATATTCATATACATTAGAGGCCGTATTTTCGGAACATACAATCACGATTAAGTAATGTGTCATTAATGCTGCATTTTTTTTTTACTGTACGATCGTATTTTTATTTTTTTCTTTCTTCATTATAATTATGTACACGAACTTCCGGCTAATAGCCGCAGAAAGATGTAAATGAGTATAAATATAATTATAAATGGTAATAATAATGATCGTACCGGTATTAAGATTACTGCACCGGGCATTTCTTGACAAATTTACATAAACGGTGCACCACCCCAGCTTCTCTGGATAAAATAAGAAATGAAACGCGCTGTCTTCCGACGACCATACGCGTGTTAACAAGATAAATCTGTGTTCGAGTACATCGTTCTGTGGTGATCGTGGAAATTAATAATTGTTATTTTCATCTATCTCTATTACTATTTATTTTTATTTCCGACTGTTGCACAGAGTATTATCGTCATGTTATTTGTTAATCATTGTCAAACAATGAAATCTGTCTTCGGTGCGTGAAAATATTTCGTCGATTGTTGTTCTGTACACGTACACCACAGAAATTGTCTAAAGTCCACCTTTGCGTGAAATTCTCTGTAATACGTCGCTTACTGGCTATTTTAACAAGTGAAATGTCCTTCGCCTCTTCATGCAAAATTGTGCCGGCATCGCAACGATTACTGGTCGGGTTTTTGTTAAAAAAAAAGCTAACGAATCGTTTGCAGTCTCTGAAACGTCATGGAGAAATACTTGTCTATACGACAGCTTCGTTTGTCCGTACTGCCCAATATGAAAAGTTAAAAAAAGTCGAGAGTCTTGAACAAAAATGTAATACAAGGTCGTAGCCATAGGCGGTGCACGCGGGGAAATGACGTCGCAGTCGTTAAACGTTGGCGCGCTCGTCGAATGTGGAATTCGTTTCAATATACAGTGAAATTTTTGTCGTTAACGTCGTTCCTCCGATAGGAGCATATTCTTCCCATCGTATCTGAGCTTTTACTTTTTGCGGAAGAAACTGATCTGCGAAGAATAACGTCCCTGTCGTGAATTTTGTCATGTTTTTTTTATTAACGATTTTTGTACACATTTTCTTTACCGTTGCTTCACCGAAATTGTTCGTCTATGTGTGAGCGTATGCGTGTTCCACAAAAATCGTCGAAATTCAATCCTCGTGCTCTTCGTTGGTGAGAAACGTTGATAACGTTACGTTCGATTGTGATTAAAAAGATGACGATTCTTGCGTAAGGAAAAAAAAGATGGCAATGGTGGATGAGAATCCCGTTATGCGTGCGGTATTTAGATCAATCGTTGCCGGTTCGCAGGAAAATGTAAAAGCGATCACCGAATTCGATGCTACGAAAGACAAACCTACGAACGGCGATGGCATTAAGGGATCATCATCAACGTTCGCAGGCTAACCTGTCGTGGTCCACGTTCGTGTTCGTTTCTCATTTCGGGAGTGTACGATGGATAGCTCCGATAGGCGATGGAACTGTTGCGCTCGAATCCCGTAAAAAATAAACAGTTCCATAAAATATACACAGTGCCGTAAAATATACACAGTGCCGCAATGTTTGTTGTTGTTGTTTATTTATTTAAAACTCTCCCGGGTGCGGCGCCCGTCTTCTGTTCGTCGGCAGGTGGTCATCGGTTAGGTTACGAAATCGGTGTTCGTGCGACGAGGATCGCGGATCGTTCGATCGGCCATCAATTGTCGTCCGAGTCTATGCTGTCGTTGATCTCGAAGCAACCGGCCGCGAAGCTCGAGTTGGTAGGTGTTCGCCAATGATAAGAACCGGCCGTGGCCGGGGGGGCCTCTTGGCCGCGATGAAAAATCCCTGTGAATCTGGTGGACCGCTATACCATTGACTGATACTTCTGGTCCTGCAGAACGTAGCTGCCGTCGGCGTTGGTGCTCGCGGACGTGCTCGTGGCTGGCATGTCGTTGGTAACGGTATGGTTCTGTTGCTGTTGGATCGACAGATGCGACATCGAGGATGTTAGTGCCCCGTTGTTCATATGGTGGTACTGCGGATGATGATAGTTCGGCTGGGTGGTGTGGTGCAAGTGGGAGATCTGACTTTGATGGTAATAATCTCCGTTGGTGTACGGGTTCTGGTAGGCGTTGTAAGATTGCCCCGCGTAACAATGGTTCGGGTTCATCGTGCTGGGCGACGCCGTACTCCATGCGAAACCGTACTCGCCGTGATGGATCTGGTTCATCGGGGCCGGGTAAGACGGCGGTGCCAGCTGGCTGGAACCGGGGGTCAACGGCGGCGAGGGAGTCGTCAGGGCGCTGTTCGCGCCGCTGCCGCCGTTCAGCATCAATCCGTGTCGGGGATACCCGGAGGTCGTAGCAAGGAGAGGCGAGTTCGGTCCGGGTGTGTCTTTGCCGCGCGGTGGGGTCACGGGAGACGAACGCCTGCTGGTCGTCGCAGACGACGTCGACGGCATTTTATTCGTCGCGTTGTTCCCCGCGTTTTGCTGCTGATTCGATCGCGGCGACCCCTTGGCCGGCGAGCTCTGTTGCGGTTGCTGCGGTTGCTGCTGTTGCTGCTGTTGCTGCTGCTGCTGTTGTTGCTGCTGCTGCTGTTGCTGTTGTTGTTGCTGCTGCTGCTGCTGCTGCTGCTGCTGCGGTTGTTGAGCGTTGATCACGTGTTGCGTTTGCTGCTACCNGATAAGAACCGGCCGTGGCCGGGGGGGCCTCTTGGCCGCGATGAAAAATCCCTGTGAATCTGGTGGACCGCTATACCATTGACTGATACTTCTGGTCCTGCAGAACGTAGCTGCCGTCGGCGTTGGTGCTCGCGGACGTGCTCGTGGCTGGCATGTCGTTGGTAACGGTATGGTTCTGTTGCTGTTGGATCGACAGATGCGACATCGAGGATGTTAGTGCCCCGTTGTTCATATGGTGGTACTGCGGATGATGATAGTTCGGCTGGGTGGTGTGGTGCAAGTGGGAGATCTGACTTTGATGGTAATAATCTCCGTTGGTGTACGGGTTCTGGTAGGCGTTGTAAGATTGCCCCGCGTAACAATGGTTCGGGTTCATCGTGCTGGGCGACGCCGTACTCCATGCGAAACCGTACTCGCCGTGATGGATCTGGTTCATCGGGGCCGGGTAAGACGGCGGTGCCAGCTGGCTGGAACCGGGGGTCAACGGCGGCGAGGGAGTCGTCAGGGCGCTGTTCGCGCCGCTGCCGCCGTTCAGCATCAATCCGTGTCGGGGATACCCGGAGGTCGTAGCAAGGAGAGGCGAGTTCGGTCCGGGTGTGTCTTTGCCGCGCGGTGGGGTCACGGGAGACGAACGCCTGCTGGTCGTCGCAGACGACGTCGACGGCATTTTATTCGTCGCGTTGTTCCCCGCGTTTTGCTGCTGATTCGATCGCGGCGACCCCTTGGCCGGCGAGCTCTGTTGCGGTTGCTGCGGTTGCTGCTGTTGCTGCTGTTGCTGCTGCTGCTGTTGTTGCTGCTGCTGCTGTTGCTGTTGTTGTTGCTGCTGCTGCTGCTGCTGCTGCTGCTGCTGTTGTTGTTGCCTGCATTTTGCCCGACGGTTTTTGAACCACACCTGCGCACACGAGAACAGAAACACGTGTCGGTTAAGGCACAATTCGAGCGGCTATACTCTTCTTACGTTATCGGCGGATACACGCGGGAACCGTGGAGCCCGGGGGAGCGAAAGGTGTCCCGTCACGCGGAGCAGAATCGAAACGATGGGGAGTTAATCGGCGCAATGGGAAAGTAATCGCGGGCGGACGACCGTAACATTTCATTAAATCGCAACAATAACAAGAAGCCGAGGAAGAGGGGCGAAAAACCCGGGGCTTTCTGGTTCACGTGTCGGTGTGTCCCCCGGGATTCGAGATCACGGTATTCGTCGGCAGGCATGCGCGAATCGAAGAGAGAGAGCCAACGTCCTACGGTTCCTTTCACTCGCCCTGCCGAGAACGAGAGACCGTCCCCGCTGAATGTGCGCGTCGTTTGCGAGAACCTGGAGCACGCGATCGCTGCGCGTACGTCGTAAGACGAAGTCGGATAACGCGACGGAAAAACCGGCGCGGGGAGAAATCGGAATCGAAATCGAAAAATCTCTCTCTCTCTCTCTCTCTTCGCGGACTACTCGCTCCTCTCTCGGCGCGGACGAGGGTAGAAAGAAGGACAAAAGTATAAGCCCCGATACTTCGCAAGCTCGCGCGCCCAAGCCCCCTTTCACTCCCCCTCGCGCACCCTCTGTAATCCCAGCACACAATGTGGCCAGGGGTGCGATCCTATGAATCTATGCCTGTGCCTTTAAAAGCGGGACCCGTCGTCATTGTTGTTATTATCGGCGGCATTGTAACAGTTGTGTTGCAAGAAGCGCGAGTCGTCCAAGCGGACACGGGATTTCCAGCCGCTGCGGATTCCGCGTTAGTCGGTCGAATCGAGGGCGACCAAAGGACGCGGTGGGTCCCGGTCGAAGGAAAACCCTTTGAAAAAGCGACGGGAGACAGAGCCGTTCGACGCGATCGAAGCGCTCCTTATCGGGGGGCGGTCGTGTATCGCGGAGAGATCGGCGAGCGTCGATCGCGTGAAAATCGGAGGAAATCGTTGCGCGCGCGTGAAACCGCGAGAGAAAACGATCGCGTCTTCGGTACGGAGAGACCGCGAGGGAAGAAGAGAACCGGAGAAAGAGAACGCCCATTACCGTTCCGTGTTTGCGCAACACCCCCTTCGGAACAACACACGGAGCGACGCCGAGTTTCGCAGCCACCCCAAAAACCAACTGAACGGGCCGCGGTACCACCCGGAAGCCCCCGGGGCGACCACAACCAGTTTTACCCGTGTGTATCGATGGCTAGGTGTAAATTGCATCACCATCTGGTTGGCGACCGACGCGGAGATCCGACCTATACTCCGTGGCTCCATGGGGTGGAGCAGCTGCGTTGACGTATCGTTACGACAAATACGTTTTCTTATTTGTACTATTAATACGAGGCTGGCGCGTTCGTTTGGCCGTTCGACGCGAACAGCGGAGAGAGAGAGAGAGAGAGAGAGAGAGAGAGAGACGGACGCGACTCCGCGAACGTTTATCGACTCGAAAACGTAAACACGCTCGCGTCCGCGGCGACGGACGCGACGAAGACGACGGGACAGGACGACCAAGATGGTCACCGTCGCGGAGCCGGATACGCGCAGACTCGCCGAGCACCGCGAGCGTATCGTTCTCGAACGAATTTAATACTAATAAATCTGTCTTCGAGAGGGAGTCTCCGATAGCTACTGCCGCGGCAGGCCAGCCAACGATCCTCAATCGCGCGGCGGAATAAAGTTCCGGCGCGCTCCTCGATCGTAAATGACGGACGAACGACCTGGCGCATTCAAACGTAGCAAACATTGCGCGCAGCTGTGTCGTTCTCTCGCAGAAAAGCGAACACGCATAGAACCTCGCGAGCGAGATAGAGCGAAGGGCTATAATCCAGGAACAAATCAACTATATGTTGTGCTCTATACATCCGCCGCTTCTGTGTCCCGCCGCCTCTCCACGCACACGATCTGCTCTCTCTCTTTCTCTCTCCCTTTTTCCCTCTGCCTCCCTCTACCCTTCTTTACACTCTCCTCTCCTTCTCTCACGGAAACTTTTAAATCCACGCATCACCGTCCTCCTTTACCCTCCTTTGCCCACCGGTCTCTCCCTACCCTCTGCCCACCTACCCCCCTTTTCGTACATTATTCGTTCACATGGGTACGCCTCTACAATACAGAAACGCGCACACGTGTGCCGCCGTGACGTACGTATGTTACACCCTTTTGCAGTTTCGCCTCCATTCACGGGAGGCTTAACTTCGCGTGGAAACTCCGCATTGGCCGGAATTTCCTAACTCTATCTTGAGCTCGATGCGATGCGATGCTATGGGATGTGACGCGATGCGATGCTGCGACGAGCAAACTACCGTGTATCAACGACCCCGATGTTTCAAGCTGTTAATTGCACGCGAGTCGGTGAAAAAGACCGCGGAATACGCGGTCGACGGCGAAAAAATAAGAGAAGCGTGTTCGCGACAGGGGCAAAAAGAGGGAGAGAAAGAGAGAGAGAGAGAGAGAGGACGGCGCGCGAGGCAAATTCCCGTGGCGCGATCGTGACTTTGAGACGGCGGGACACCCCGCCACGAAATAAAGATGTCACGTGGACCGCAATAAAAGCGTCAACGGGCTCGTTCGGCACATCTATCAATGTAGAGCCACGGCCGGAACAATGGCGGAACCGGAGGGACGTGGGGCGCGACACCGCGCTGTGTAAATACCTTAAATCTCGTCTATGCTTGCCGAAGCACGAAGCACTCTCCCCCGTCCCTCTTTCTCGCCCGCTCGTTATCGCCGCGCGAGAACAATCTCATTCCCGGTGACTTGTTACGCGGCGTGTCCGACGCGCGGCGGGTGCTAAACCTACACCGGTTTGCCGGGCCCGCGAAATCGATCGCGTCGTCCGAGGCGCCGCGGCGGGAATCAATTTACCTGAACTCTCGACTCGGGCAGGTTGATCTTCAGCGCGACCTCCTCCCGCATAAAGATGTCCGGGTATCTCGTCTTGACGAACAACGCCTCCAGCACGTCCAGCTGGGCCCTGGTGAAGGTCGTCCTCTCGCGGCGCTGTTTGCGCTGGTTCATCCCTGAAACAGAGTGGAACCGTCGATTTAGAACGGCGACGGAAAGAAACACGTTCGCGCGAGTCCTGTCTGCGGACTACGCTCTCTCCTCTCTCTCTCTCTCTCTCTCTCTCTCGTTCTCTCTCTCTCGCTCTCTCTCCTCTCTCTCTCTCTTTCGCTCTCGTGTCATGAGAAAGGAGGAGAACGAAAAGACGGTAGAAACAAGATACGCGATTCGATCTCTAGAGAACGAAGACGAACCGAGGCGGTTCGATTCCAGGGAACGCGAGGCGTCACCACCGCAGACCGGAGCGGAGCAAAAGGGGAGGGGGGGGGGNAAGCACGAAGCACTCTCCCCCGTCCCTCTTTCTCGCCCGCTCGTTATCGCCGCGCGAGAACAATCTCATTCCCGGTGACTTGTTACGCGGCGTGTCCGACGCGCGGCGGGTGCTAAACCTACACCGGTTTGCCGGGCCCGCGAAATCGATCGCGTCGTCCGAGGCGCCGCGGCGGGAATCAATTTACCTGAACTCTCGACTCGGGCAGGTTGATCTTCAGCGCGACCTCCTCCCGCATAAAGATGTCCGGGTATCTCGTCTTGACGAACAACGCCTCCAGCACGTCCAGCTGGGCCCTGGTGAAGGTCGTCCTCTCGCGGCGCTGTTTGCGCTGGTTCATCCCTGAAACAGAGTGGAACCGTCGATTTAGAACGGCGACGGAAAGAAACACGTTCGCGCGAGTCCTGTCTGCGGACTACGCTCTCTCCTCTCTCTCTCTCTCTCTCTCTCTCTCGTTCTCTCTCTCTCGCTCTCTCTCCTCTCTCTCTCTCTTTCGCTCTCGTGTCATGAGAAAGGAGGAGAACGAAAAGACGGTAGAAACAAGATACGCGATTCGATCTCTAGAGAACGAAGACGAACCGAGGCGGTTCGATTCCAGGGAACGCGAGGCGTCACCACCGCAGACCGGAGCGGAGCAAAAGGGGAGGGGGGGGGGAGGGCGCGGAGGGTGTAAGCGTTGCGAGGTCGCGATAGCGTAATTTTGAACAGCCACCCCACCTCCCGTTTTGGCCCACCCTCCTCTACCTTCCTCGTGCCATCGAGCCTCGCTTGGCTCGTTTCGGGACCCACGTAATCCGCTTATGAGGGGGTCACAGGGGCGGCGGGTGGAAGAGAGGACGGGGGACACAAGCCAGCGCGCGGTGGAACAGGGGGACGCGAGCGGGGGCCGGCGAATGGGGGGAGCGCAGGGGAGGTGGGGTACACCCCGGAATACACGACCATCCAGAGGACCAAAGTCGCGGTTCGTTCCCAGCTGCCTCTGGAAACGATGCTACCCAACACGCCAACGTACAACGTTCCGGCCAATAAAAAGAGGAGTCTGGAAAACTGCGCCTCGCCAGTGTCTCGCGGTTGGAAGCTGGATCGTAAAGTCGAGAAAGGAATGGTGGATACCTCGGGCCCGAAAGGATCGTTCGTTGTCGCGGCGACGCTCCGCTCGATCCACCTCGGCGGCCGACCTCACGAACCGCTTCTAAGAATTCGACGCCGTAGGTAAAGAACGCGCGCGCGCTACGCCACCGGCGCTGCCCCGACGCTACTTTTCTTTTTTTTTTACGCGTTCGTCTCGCGAGCCTCGCGGCGGAGAGTTTTTTTTACGAACACGAGCGCAACAAGCTCGACGCGAACGCGCGGCTCGTCCGTCGTCCCGCCTCCTTTCGTCAAGCTCGCTCGGAACGCGAAAAAGTCGATCGATCGTCGTAGAGAGCCGTCGCGATTGTCGGCCGGCTTGGCTCCGGAGAAACGAGAGCCAATCGGGCCCGCCTCGCGCTCGACGGACCGGAAAAAAAGTAGCGGTGGAAGGAGACGTCGCGAGGAGCGACGATTAATTCGATTGTAAGGCAACCGTTCGCGGAGGACGGCGAGGAAGGCGAGAGAAACAGTGGGAAGCGCGCGCGTCTCTTAAAAGGGGAGTGGTCCACACCGGGGATCTTCTTCTTCTTCTTCGTATCGGTCGTATCTCTTGCCCCGGCTGTTTCGAGCAGTTCCCCCAAAGTCAAGAACGAATACGCAGGCGACGCGCCGCGCCAAAGGATGATGACGATGACGCCCGACGATGATGCATACGGTGCGCGCGATCGTTGCCTAACGAACTGGTCGAGTGGGCTATCAGCGTGGTAGCCAGGTAGATGCTCGGAGCAGATTGCGCCGAGCACAATGTAAAATGCCATGCCGGTTGGCTACCGTCGCAACGATGGCCACGACACGCCCGCGATCGTTGAATCTATGATCCGTATCTTCTGTTCTGTCGCGTCGGCTCCATGGCGGATCCAACGGCGACCGGAATAAGGCTACGAAGAGAACGGAGAAGAGCGAGAGAGAGAGAGAGCGAGAGAGAGAGAGAGCGAGAGAGAGAGAGAGAACGCGGAGAGAGCGGAGAGAGAGCGGAGAGAGCCGAGAGCAGAGACGAGCCAGCAGCGAGAGAGGATGCTTGATTGTCGAGTGGGCGTTGGCGCTACCGTTAACAACGGCCTTTGCCGGCTATACATCGGCCCCTGTGAAAGCGAGGTCCTTATCCAGAAACGAGACAATGGAATTCCGATTATGGTCTTCCGCTTGCTTCCTCGCAACGCCGAGTGGGCGCAACGAGAAGCCCTTCGTTTGCCTCGTTTCTAGGCGAGAGAGATCGCTCGGGGCTCGACGTCGTCGTTTCGAAATTACGAAAAAAGAGGAAATCGTCTCGACGGGTCGCGTCGGGTCGCGTCGGGCGAAAGCGAAAAACTCGCGGCGAAAGACAGAGGGATCGGGATGCGTCGATTCGGATGCGTCGATCCGGCAAACGACGGCTAGCTAAGCAACCCTAATGGGTCGGCAAACACCCGCTGCTTCCTGAAGTATGATTCGATTTATTATCGTCGGCGCGAGACGAAACCGAGGGTTGATACAAGGGTTGCCTCGGCTCATCGGCCCGCAACGAGATCAGACGCGACCCTAATAGCAAATTCGTTTTCTGTTTATTGGATTCTTCTCGGTTCCCTCCGCGCGCTCCGCAGGATTTAGCGTTTCGAGCCGGCTAGCACAGAACGCGGGATCCGTGGAAGTCAATGGACCGCTAACCAAATTTCACAGTGATTTTCTCCGGCCCGGTCGAGTGTCCGCTGATCGCGCGCGAGTCGGGCAAATGCGAACGCAAACGGAAACTGATACCGGGATTTTCGTGGTAATCGAAGCGGCTGCTGGCTGCTGGATCGCGACGTTTACCCCCGCGCGTTTACTATTCTAAATGGGACGTCGCGGAAAATAATGAAAAACGCTAATCGATCGCTGTCGCGCCGACGTCGAGTAATCGCCGTCTCTGTCCCGCGTCGGACTCGTCGTGGAATTTCTGCCGCTTCGAAGGAATGAATTATATGACCGGCGCTTAGTTATCCGCGACAAGATCTAAAACTATTCCGGCGATGATATACGGCGAGTATGAAGAACGCGATTACAGTCTCTAAGCGTTTGTTGCGCCGCGCCTCACCGCGCCGCGCGAACGCGAACAGGCGACCGGCTCGTAAATAACGTTGATAACGTGAGAATTCTAATTCCGATTCAACCACGGCGAGTTCGGCGAATTAGAAAATGCAAATTAATATCAATTACAACGAGCAGCCTCGGTAGGGGAGGGGAGGGGGGGTAGGGGCAGGGGAATCGGACGGAGGATCTCGGTGTAATTACGCGATAAATCGACCGGCTACTCCGCGGCGCGCCATTCATCAAAACTGGTTAAGTCGCGGAGATTGAACCATAAATTACGCGTCGCGCTCGCGAACGTCGTGAAATCGACGGGGAATCGAAGCCGAAGCCGAAGCCGAAGCGGCGCGGAACGGCGAAACGGGGCGGCGAAGCGAAGCGACAAACTCGTTTCGCGAAGACGAAAGCGGTTACTTCGTTATTCATAGAATGGGAGATGCGACGGTGGCGAAATTCGACGGGTTCGGGCGGTCGGCAAGGAGCGAACGACCGGCCGAGGAATCCGGGGAAAGTGAATATATATATACACGGTGCCGGGAAGGGAATCGAAAATTAATTAAAAGCTAAAACGCGAACGGACTTTGCTAGGCGGCGCAGAACGTGGGCGGAGAGTTTGGATTATTCGGGGGACCGTGGGCCGTGGGCCGTGGGATGATAGCACGTGCCGCTGCCTTCTGGAGAGAGGGAATTCTAAAAGGCCATCAGCTACGAAAACATTTGGTCGACTTTGCGTTTACAGTCTGACCTCCGCGAAATCGCTGCGCAAAGTAGATAACCGCGGCGGCGGGCACGCCGGGGGGTTTGTCTTTCTCGCGACTCGCGAGAAGATTCGCGCGCGTCGGACCACGAGGCGATGCGATTCGATTCGATTCGATTCGATCCGATCCGATCCGATCCGATTCGATTCGATTCGGTGCGATTCGAGCGCGACCGGCGAACGAGTTAAAGTCCGAAGGGGACGGTGCATCGGTAAACTCGAGAATGATACACCTGCATACGAGAAGGCCGCGCGTTGCGCCGAGACCGTGCGGACAAAAGAAACGCGTGTGGCCTTCGAACCTAGTCGGTCTTACGCGGTAATCTAGCAGAGACGAGTATAAGTAAGTAACGAAATACCAACACATCCGGGACAAGCGAATAAGAGGATAAGCTTCGTGTTACCGACTTCCAACCGATGCGCCTTTTTCATTCGCTTCCTTTCCGATAGGCCTTCTTTCGAGTCGCTCTCCACCTACGTACCTAACGCGTGCGCGCGCGCCTACTTTCCTATTTCGGGTTGTCAAAATCGTTCGAATTTCGAGAACGATCGAAAATTCTCGGCGATGCGCGAGACTCCGGGCCGCCGGCGCGGAGACGAAAACGGCCGGAGAAAGAAACGAAAACATGGAGGAACGCAGAGACGCGGGCTATCGATATCGTTGTACGTGATATTTCACTCAGAGTCGAGTGTTTATCCTGCAATTAGGTCCGGGACCGGTAGCTCGAACCCCTGCCGGAGAAACGACAACGACACCACGTCCACCTACTCAATTTACCCGTGACACGCGTCGATCGCCGCAAGCCGTTCGTATTCCGACGCCAACTAAGATTTCTCCCGAGTGGATTTTCGCGTGTGCGCCACCCCCGGCCCCGACGCGACGTTTTGTGGCCACTTCGTAACGACGATGGGCGCACGTGCTCGGCCACGTGCCGCCCTTAACCTGACGTTTAATCGAGTGATCGCAATTCCATCGAGGCGACTCCATCGTTTCGAGCGACGCGGTCCCGCCGCGACGGAAACGAAAAGAAGATCGAGATCGAGATCGAATTGTTCGCGCGATCGACGAAATTGTCGATCGAGAAAGAGTAAGAGGTGCGAAGAGGCGAGAGAGTCCGATCTGTTTAGGCGGCACGATTCCGCGGAGAGGCGGAGGAAGTTAAGTGGACGGGCAATTTCTCTGCGACAACAAATAGCAGTAGTCGAATGAGAAAAGGGCGAGGCATGTGACGCGATTCCCACGTACCCGGTGGCTTCGACACTGTCCCCGAAACATCGGGGCAGAAACCTCGGCGCGCTAACGACAACGTTTCGACACCCCTCTTTTTCGCACCCTCCGCCGTTCCGCCCCGGGCCCGCGGCGGCGTGTCTCTTCTTTCCGGCGAGGCGCGACCCCCGGTGTACCGATTGC